CCCACCTACACCCTGACCCATCCACACCACCCACACCCCTCACATGGCTACTACCAGCCAATCCCCTACGCCCCAGAACCCAGGCGTCTGGGACCGGGGCTGCCTACCCTTGTACTTGAGGTGTGAGTGCATCATGATCTTGTCCACGATCTGGTGCATTTGCTTCAACCTCCGGGGGCAAAAGCACTCCCGCTTGGCCTTGTTCTGGAGGAAAACTGGAGACAGGGGGGAGGGGTGTGTGCAAAACTCAGCCCCAGAGCCCCTGCACTGGCATCAGGGGACGCTGTGCTGCAAGAGGCAGGACCGGAGGACGGGCTCTGGGAGCACTACAGGGCACCAGGTAGTGGCCAGTGGGGACCCCCAAGGGGCTCCAGATGTGCATCAGCCCAGCTAGAGGCTGCAGTGGCCAACGGGGGCCACTAGGGAGCAGAAGACATGATAATACCATGGGGGGGGCGTATCTCCTTTCTGATGTTGCGATGGCACTGGGGTGTGTCGTTCTACAGGGGGCAGGGAGCGGGGGAGGGCATTTGGCCAGCCTCTGAGGTGCTGTGCAGTGACTCACACAGAACCTCAGGGGTCAATGGACATGGCCAAGAGTGGCCACTTGGGAGCATGACACATTGCCATACCCCTAGAGATCACCAGGGGCACCACATCCCCTCTCTGATGCCCCCAATCCCAGGGGGACACCAGGGAGGAAAAGTCAGGGGGCTCTGGCCAGGCCCTGGGGTAGGGAGGCCCACCCAGGGATGCCGTGCTCACCAATGTGGGGGTAGTACTCGGTGCCCTCGTCAGGCCCTGCTGAGCCGCTGGACTCGTGGCTGGGGGAGGGCGTGGATGGCTTCACCATCTCAGCCGTCTGCAGGAACCTACCATGATAAGGTGGGGGACGGGGGGTTAATTCCTGGGGTGGGGGCAGGGAAGGGCAGGGCCGGGCCAAGATTGGGCTAGCCTCCGGTACCTGTACCTGTAAAGGCTGAGGTCAGTGAACCAATCCTGCACCACAACGACCACATGGCAAACGGTGAAGAGGAAGGCGGCAATCTGCAGGGACTGGAGGGTGGGGGATTGTCAGTGAGGGAATCCAGGCATCCAGAAGGCCTTGCCACTCCACCCCCTTGGAGATCCCCTGGTGGGTCTCCCCTGCCCCCCTACTCCCACCACAGAAGGGGCCTAGGATTGGGCCAGGGGGGCAGGGCCCAGGATCAGGCCACCCCCAGAGGGGCCAGCCCCCCCCCGCCCCAACAGAATTGAGCCCCACACCCACCTGCATCTCTACATAGGTGTGAGGCAGGTTGTACTCGGGGGGCAGCTTCCGGTCGTTGTTGATGAGATGGTCCAGGATGGATGGGCTGAGGATGGGCTGGGGAGGGAGGGAAGGGTTAAATCCAGGCAATGCAGGGGTGGAGGGGGGATACAACTGGATATACACAGGGAACCCAGGTGTCTGGGACACTGGCGTGCCAAATCCAGGTATCCAGGGCACATGTGCGTGCACACACAGGGACCCAGCAGTCCAGGACACACACACGCACACACACACGTGCAAAGGGAACCCAGGCATCTGGGAAACAGACACGCACACACACGGAACCCAAGCATCCAGGACACATTCACAGGGAACTCAGGCACTGGGGACACATGTACACACACGCACAAGTAACGCAGGCATCTGGGGGACGCACAGACATATGGGAAATCCAGGACACACACATGGAACGCAGGCATGCGGGACAACCCCACTGCTCCCATTCATTCCTTCCCCCTTGGGTGTCCCAACTCCCCTTAAGTCCCTCTACTCCCCCAGCCACCAGGAGGCTCCCCTGTCCTCCCCTCCCAAACCAGATACACCTGGACTCAGGCATGCACCATAGCGGGAGCAGGCACCACGCTACCCCCTGGTGCCTGCGGGTGGAACTGCAGCCAGGTGCTCCATAACCCAGTGGGGGGTAAGGGGGGGGACACACGTATTCGAGTTGGCACACCTGGGTGTCGAGGAAGATGATGCGCTCCTGGGTGATGAAGAAGTCGATGCCACTGGTCTGGTTGCCCCCGCGCTCCTTAATTTCCTGGCCCTGGGGGCGGAAGGCGTAGGCCCTGGGGTGGTGATGGGGAAATCAGGGGTGGAGTCAACACAGGGTAGGGGGGAGAGTTTGGATGAAGACCCCCCTCCCCCACAAAATCCCAACCACGTGACCCAGAACCGCTCCCAACCCCACCCGTTGTTGCTACCCCAACTTTAACCCTCTACGCGCCACTCCCAGTACCTCTGGTCGTCCTCAGGCTGGTTGGCTGAAAGCAGTGACATCACTGTGGACTTGCCGGTGCCCTGAAGACCCAGGACGCCCACGACCAGCACGTCTGTTTGGTCCAGCAGGTACTGGGGGACGAGGGGGTGGGGGTCAGAAGCATAGGCTGGATGGGCTGGGAGCACCCAGGAGTCCAGGGATCCTGCATGGCAAGGACCCAGGAATCCAGGGTTGGAAGGGAGCAGGGTGTGTGTGT